GTATCTGAAATCCTTTCTGGAAAAAAGTATGGCTGAAACAAGGTAGTAAGGAAGGTAATATACACTCAATAACATTATAAGCAGTAGGGGGGAAAGCAGTTACAAAATTGTTTAAACAGTATGATCTCAATATTTTTAAACAAAAAGCACAGAAACAAAATGTCTTTTTTATACATTCTTATAATTGGTGAAAGTCATTAGAGCTACAACATAAAAGAATAGATTAAGAAATAGTTGCATGTAGAATTAAAACATGAAATAAAATACTTAGTGTCTATGAGAATCATCTATATACCTTTACAAGAATGTTTACATTTATCATCAGGGAAAATGGTGACATTTTAAGCATGTGCAAATATCAGAGACTAGCCAATTGGACATATTTAAACAAACTGCCACCCATTACATTTATACAAATATTGTTTTTCTAATTACACAAAGACTCAGAGAACTTGCAGTACAAAGGTTAAAACTCATCTAACATCTTTAAAACAGTATTTGAATAAATAGTCTAATTTCAGAAAAAAAGACAAGCATTCCCAAAATGAGTATTTATATAATGTACACGTAAATTCAATAAACTATGTAAATTGTGAAACACTAGAGAAAAATTAAAGGAATAAGATATAAATGAAATAAACACTTTTTAATAACTTATTTTATTTATTAATAAGTGGAAGTCTTTCAACTCTCAGTAAAAATTAATATTGATACTGTCAGTGAAAACAATTTGATTAAATAAATTTCATTATTTTTAAAGGTCTTTAATATTCTGTTATAAAGTGATTCAAAGTTCAAAGTTCTATATTTTGATAAGTGGTTTTAATGGCCTCAAAGGTGGAAAAAATATTGTACAATGGTATCCAAATACAAATAAAAGACAATCTTAGTGCTGTGTTCATTAAACCATATATTAATCTTTTTTCTCAATTGTAGATGGACACAATACCATTATTTTATTTATTTATGTGGCACTGAGAAGCCAAAACCCTGGCCCCATGATATTAATCTTTAATCACATTCACCAACTGTATAAAGATTTTTGCTGAAATGCTAGTGAATTTATATTTTTTCTGACATCAGCAATTGTTTTTATAAGCTAATCACACAAAATTCTGAAGCATGACTATAATAAACTAATGATGTGAAAACCAATTGAAAACTTTTATGTGGAAGATTTTAAACACAAAGGAAAATTGGTTATCAATTTTTTAAAGTGGACATGTGTTCGTTTACATGGGTAAAAATCACACAATGATAGAAGCATTTCTAAAATATATATTCAAACACTTTTGCTACAGAAAGGAAAGTATGTCTAGATACTGAACTGGACATACTGTAAATTGTTTCTATAAATCAAGTTTCATTGAACACAGTGATATCCATTCATTGCCTATGTCTGCTTTTGGGTTACAATGGCATAGTTCATTAGCTCCAACGGTATGTAACCTACAAAGCTGAAAAGATTTGCTATCTGAAAGTTTATGGGGAAAAAGTGTGCCAAACTCTGCTCCACAGTATCAATTTCCTTCAGTAAAGCAATTAACTTTATCGTTTGTGTATCTGAAAAAGATAAATGCTTTTTATTTTTTTCTGACATTTTCTAAGTTTCATATTAGAAGGCTACTTGTCATTCCTGAAAACACAGAATCTCAAAGGGCAAGTCTCAAACACTTAAACAGTTTGTAACTCATCTTTCCCAACTTCAGTAGAGTAAAAGAGTCATTTCTGGTTATTCTTCCTCTTGTTTCAGAGTTTTGGAAAGATTGTTTTGTTTTGTGTTTGTTGTGTTGGGCATTGAACCTGGAGCTTCACACATGCTAGGCAAGCTCCCTACCACTGAATTACATTTCTAACCCCTATTATTTAACATAATATAACTTGTTTATCTACTTAACTTGACTTAAGTATGTATGTAATCCATGGCAACATACTGAAAAAAAAAACAAGGGTTTGATTGGAAGTGCCCCCAGACCTATGACCTCAATTCTTTCCTCATAATGTTTTTTGTTTGTTTGTTTGTTTTTTAACTTATCTGACAGAAACTGGGAGTGTTAATATTAGTTCATATATTAGCAAAATTAAACACTTTTTTTTTGGTACTGGGGATTGGACCCAGGAGTACTTTACCACTAAGTCACATCCCCAGCGCTTTTAATTTTTATTTTTATTTTGAGACAGGTTCTCTCTAAGTTGCTGAGGGTCTTGTTAAGTTGCTGATGCTGACCACAAACCTGAAATTCTCCTGCCTCAGCCTCTCAAATCACTGGGATTACAGGTGTGTGCCACAGCACCCAGCTTGGGTTACTTTTAAAGAATTAAAACAGAAAGAAAAGCAAGCACGCAAGCAAGAAAGAAAGAAGAAAAAGTAGTAGTCTATGTTGTCTTTCTGTGTCCCAATACATAGATCAGTGTATACAAGACACTCTAGACCTCTAATCCAAGTCATAGAAACTAAAATTTTTATGTACAGTAAATGAAACACTAGAATACCTGGCCTATGCCAGATTCCATAATTAATCATCATCATGCTAAAATTGACTTAGATCATAGCAGTACATAGCGTGGCTATCTTATTCCTCATGCTAAAACTAGGAATACTTTATTCAGATTTGCAATACATATTACAGATTTGCAGACATAGGCAATACATATCCCTCCTGGAGACAGCTAGCAAGATGAGTGATAAAGTATTATTGTAAATGGAAATTTTTCCCTCCACATGATTTATAGAAACTGAAGCTCCTAAATAAAGAATGTTTATATATAAAATGTTTATATTTTCTTAAAGAGGAAAAATGATAAATTTAACCAACCTATATAAAAGATGGAAGAATTCCAAATATGGAGAATACTTATTATGTTCATTATTCTGCTACTAAGTGAGATAAATAAAATGGGAAGACTCATGCTTTGGCTAGAAAATAATTATTCAGTCTTCTACTTGTTGAATTAAAAGAATCTACAGAGATGTCAGTCTTGAAAATGAAGATAAATTCTTTTATGGAAAAAAGAAAAGAAAAATGAAGAATGGTTTGGTTGTTTGTCAATTAACTATGAAAAAAACTAAAAATTCCCAGTTTTTTCACTCTAATTGGTTACTAAGTCCTATGCATTTTAAAATGTCTCATTCTGTCCCCCTTTGCAACTCTGATATTGTTAAATCCTTATCTTTAACCAGATACCATTTTTAAGCTTTTTTTTAATTGTAGATGGACACAATACCTTTATTTTTCATTTATTTTTATGTGGTACTGAGTATCAAACCCAGTGCCTCAGATGGGCTAGGCAAGCACTCTACCATTGACCTACAACCCCAACCCCCAGACAGGTTTTTTAAAAGAGCCTTCTGGATGATTTCTTGTCCCAGTGTTCCCTCTCTTTAATTCATCCTTCACATTACAAATTATCTTCTAAAATAATATGATCACTACAAAAAAAGTGACATATTCCCATTCATAGCATTTGGACGAAATTACTGTTTCTTAACTAGAGTTACAAAGTCAACCACATCATTCTTATTTCATAAGACCTTCACAATCCCCTCTTCAAACAGGTTAGCTGAATTTGCCAAGTTTTGGTACATTTAATCAGAGCTGTAGTGATCGATCAGCAAGTATTTATTAACTGCCCTTCTGTGGAAGGGCAGAATATCTTTATTTCACAAATAGAGAAATTAATGCTAAAAATGTAACTTGACGAAAGCCACATAATTTGTTAGCAGCACAGCCAGGAAAATGCTGATTCCTTACACTTGTCATTACACTGTACTCAAAAGCTTCCATGAAGAAAGCAAAGCTCAAGGACCTCTTTTAAGGAGTTCTTGGCACAACAGCTGAGGCAGTAAGAATGCATAATTCTTTGAGGCTAGGGGAACAGAAAAAAAAAAAGGATTCCTAGCAGATACTTGCAATTAATTAAGATGTAGAAGGGAGTCCAGTGAGACAAATTAAGTTGACAGGAATATTAAGAGGGTAAAGAGGAAAAAATAGTCAAAACCAGAAAAGTGCAGAGTCAGGAAAGCCAAAAATGGAGTAAGTACTTGGTGATCTTAAGTGCCACACCAAGTTGGAAGAAGAGGAGGGTTGGCATTGGGGGTAACACATGAGATGGCTGAAATTCAAAGAAAAATAAATTTAACTCTTCAAATATTATAGAAATAACAAAATTTCTTCAAAATGATTACCACTGTCCATTTGGTACACCAGTAAGGGGGAGCTGTATTTATTTTTCATATATTCAATTTCTATTTCACAAATTATATTACATAAAATCACTGTGGAAAGTTTTTCAATGTTGAAAAATTACAAAACCTAAGAAAATACAGCATCTATGAATCTGTTTTATAGAAACACAATTTGATCTTTTAAATCACAGCTTAACTATATGAGCATAATCTCATTGGCTATTTTTTATTTGGCAAGAAACTATTTTCAGCTTTTATCTTCCCCACATTTGAGAGCATTTGGATTAATATAAAAAATAGTTTATTATATTTTTGCTGTACTCTACTAATTCAGAGGTTCAGTAAAGGAAAAGAGTGAGCTATAAAAAACCAAAGTTACAGATATCTCAGCAAAATTATATATAAAATATTTTCACTAAGTTTTAATAAGAAATGCTATCAGAAATAATGTGGTCATTAATGTGGGAGTTTGCACAGAAGGAAAATTGACCTATTTTATCCTTGTTCTTACATGACAGATATAAAACACTTTTAACTAAAATCAACTATAATTAGTTTAATCTGCAGAATATGAAGATCCTAGAAAACTGTATCTAACTCAAAGTTTTATTGTTTGGCGCTGGGGATTGAACCTAAGGCCTTACTCATGTCAAGCTCAAGTTCTACTACTTTAGACATCATCCCAGTCCCTAACATAAAGTTTTAAAAATTTTAAACTGTATAACTAAGAAGAACCAATAAAATTTTTAATTGCCCATTAATGAGTTAAAATTTAAAAGACACAAAGGAGCTATTCAAACAACTTGCTACTTACCTTGTTCAAGTCTGAAGAGGGTCTTTTCCAGCTTTTCCATTTCGTTTAGTAGTAAAATTCTAATCTGTTTACCGTGTCCCATTTTGGATTCTGGAGGCTTTGAAATCTTTCAGAAGAATTAAAGGAACTCCAAAATCAAATGAGTTACCCCTGTGACACACAAAAAAAGGAATTACAAAAAAGAAAATAACTATTACCTTAAACTCTCCAGGGCTGACAGCTAGCTGCACTTACATGTTCTAAATGTCGTTTAACTCTAGCAGAGCAATGAGAAAGAAGGAATCTTATAAAGAAGATCCGAGATGGCAAATTGTTTTCTCTTCCCTTAAAGCACAATGAGGAAGACTGAAGCAAATATACTGTATTGTCAATTCTTACAAATAAAACATAACAAAACCAAACAAGTTAAAGCATTCTCAGAGAAAAGCGATACTATTTAAGAAAGCCTGGAGTTCAAGGGGAAAAATTCCCCGGTCTCAGGCCAAAAGGCTGTCAAGTCTCCAAATGGCACTTCTGCTTACAGGAGATTAGTCTGCTCAAAGATAACAGGTGGGAGATCGCCCCATTCCCAAATTCGGGTCAGAAGCCACCAATGGGGAGATGAGAACAGAGGAAAGCAGTTGTCGCCCCTGGAATAGCTGTAATAGACATAGGATGGACAGAGAGAGCTATAGATAGAAAGAATGCATTGCTCCGGGAGGCCAGCAGCATTCCTAGCACTTACGGTGAGCAAGTTATACAGGCGGCATCTGGGAAACCCCGGGTCTGGCGCTATTCGGGGGAGGGCACGGGAAGGCAAGCAAAAGGGGACAGGCCGGCTGCCCAGCCGTGGACAAACGCCGCAGCCCAGGGAGGGCAGGGCGCGGTGAAGGGCAAAGGGAGGGGAGGTGGCGCCAGCACCCGGAGACCAGCGGGGAGCGTCCCCGAGACTCCGCCTCGCGCGGGTCCCCCGGAGGCCCAGATTCGACCCGGCGAGGCGTGCACTGGCTTAAGTGGGAGTGGACCTGCCTCTCTTCCACTTCCGGGAACCTCCAGGCCCACTAGCCCAGACCGCTAGTCTCGCGAGAATGTGTTCACTGCGGAGTTTCAGGCTGCGGGAAGCCGGCTTCCCAAGTGGCTGCAGCGGGCCCAAGCTGGGAACCGCTATTTCTCCCGGCCTTAGGGGAGGTGTGGCGGCGTGGGTGCCACAGCCTGTGAACTGAAAATTCTGTGGTTCCAGGCTACGAAATAGATTGAGCCGCCCAGTAGGATCTTTTCATGGGAAGGACTGAATGCTGAGAGCCAAGCAATGTGGCTTCTCGTGCCTTTTCTACCACTGTGTGTTTCCTGTTTGGGGGGGGGGGGGTTTCTTGTTTTTCCCCCCAAAAAAACTTGCCTAAGTTCCCCTAGCCTTGATTTCCCTGGGTTTGAAATAAGGAACCTGGCTACAGTCTCTGACATACCATCCAACAGGTGTCCATCCTTTCTGGGCTCAGTGGTGCATCTGTGTAACCCATCTATTCAGGAAGCTCAGGCAGGAGAATTGCAAGTTTGAGGCCAGCCTCAGCAACTCAGTGAGACCAGCTCAAAACAAGACCCCACAACAACAAAAACAACAAACAAAAAATCATATCCTAGCAGGGAACATCTTCCTGAATGCAGACACTGGACTAGGTGGGTGAAGTGTGGCCAGTCTACAATAGAGAGGATGAATACTGCTTGTATTTACAACATCCGGTTGTACCAGATGATCATCTTGAGATTAAGCTGCACATATTTTACACCAGAATTTCTGGACTCTGTGTAGATGCCTAAGAAGATTTTATGCCTGAGGAAAAAGGAAAACCCATCTTTCAGAGTTTTTCAAGAACACCTAATGGTCATGAGAAAATGGACAAAAGGTTGGGGTTAAGTTAACCAGGTATGGATAAGAATCTTATTTTACTGTGAAATTACAGTTTTGTAGGTCCAAAAAGGATGCTGAGGTGTGTTTGTTAATCAACTTTGTGTGTGTGTGTGTGTGTGTGTGTGTGGTGATGGGAATTGAACCCAGGACCTTGTGCATCCCCTTCAAGCATGTGCCCCCATATAACTGGGAGATTTCCAATTAGACTTGCCTCTTAGAGATCCCACCTAATAGTGTTGCAGGCTGGGGGCCCAGCAATCAACACATGAGCATTTGGTGGACATTCAACCAAATCATAGAAGATGGGGTGGTCATCAAATCTTGTAAGGCTTTGCAGGCCATTCTAAGGACTTAGACTTTTACTCTGGGAAAAAGAGACACTGAAGGATTTTGAACAGAGGAGTGACCCTTTAAAAGTATCACTCTGAGGCCTGGGGATATAGCTCAGATGGTAGAGTGCTTGCATTACACGCACAAGACCTGGGTTCAATTCCCAGCAGCACACACACAATTTGTAAAAATATCACTCTGCAACTTTGTGGGGGACAGCTGAATAAACTGAAGAGGGTAGCAAAGAAGGACTGTAAGGAGAACAGTTACAACATATTTCAATTATCCAAGAAAGAGAAAGTGGTGTACACATGTGCAAGTTTTGGGATAAAGGTGTAGCCATGAGAAGTTGTTGAATTCTACTTTCTATTTTGGAGGGCAGGATTTACAAGAGAGAAAGGTGTCAACTATGATTCCAAGGTTTTTAATCTATGAAAACAGCCGTAACAAGCACTGTTCAATAGAAATCTTGAGTGTAATTGAAAATTTTCAAGTTGTCACTTTAAAAAATGGGTGAAATTTTCCTATTAGTAACATATATTAACACTATGTCTAAGTCATTATTTCAACAAATAATCAATATAAAAAGTTATTGATGAGATGTTTTATGTTCTTTTTTCATATTAAGTCTTCACAGTCGTGTTTGCACTTTATACTTCTAGCATGTCTCAGTTCCAACAGCCACATATCATGGGCTCAATAGCTTCATGTGGCTAATTGCTACCATGTGGACAGTACAGAAGTTGCCATTTTTTTTAGAGAGGAAGAATAAAGGGAAGGGGTAGGAGTAGTTGATGAAATCAGGAGTTTGTAGACAGTAAACTTGAGAGCATTATTAAACATCCTATTAGAGATATCAATTTAACATTTGTATCCCTGGCCTCCAAATTATTGTTTTTCAAATTCGTTAAAGACCTGTAAAAACAATTTATTAGCTGTAATCAACAATTTTTAAAATGAAATAAAGAATATATTAATGAATTACATCTGGTAAAAGTATTATTTCATAAAACATCACTTTCTATTTCTTAATTTTGATGTATTGAGTTATGATTCCTACTGGATATCATGGTTAAAAAATGTTTGAAAGTGACTGCCCTGGAATGCCTGCTGTGCAAAACTGTAATTTATTATTGTGAAATAGTGCCTGGGTTTTATTTCCAGTTTTGCCAATAACTGAGAAGCTTTGAAAGGTACTCAATCTCTTTTTAATTGATTTTTTCAACTGTAAAATGGGAATAAAAATAGTACGTACTACAGATCCAATGCAATACAGATTTTGCTCTGAACTGTCTCACAGAAAACCCTTTGATAATAAAACCTTTGATGATAAAATCCCCATCAAAATACCAGTGATATTGGAGCTGGGATTGTGGCTCATGGTAGGGTGCTTGCCTAACATGTGTGGGGCACTGGGTTCGATTCTCAGCACTGAATATAAATAAACAAAATAAAGTTCATTGACAACTAAAACAATATTTTAAAAATACCAGTGACATTATTCATAGAACTAAAAAAAAATACTAAAGTGTATATGGAAGACCAAGCCAGGCATGGTGGTACATGCCTATAATCCCAGCAACTCAGGAGGTTGAGCAGGAAGAACACAAGTTCAAGGTCAGCTCAGCAACTTAGTGAGGCTCTAAGCAACTTAGACAGAATCTGTCTCCAAATTAAAAAAATAAAAAGGTCTGGGGATGTTGCTCAGTGGTTAAGCACCCCTAGGTTCAATCCCTGGTACCAAAAAAAAAAAAAAAGAAAAGAAAGAAAGAAAGAAAAAGAAAAAAAAAAGTATACAAGAACAAAAGACCAAGAATAGCCAAAGCAATTCTGAGCAAAAAATAGTAAAGCTGGAGGCATCATACTACCCAAATTCAAATTATACTACAAAGCAATATTTAAAAAAAAAAACTTGGTATAGACATATAGTATAATGGAACAAAAGAGAAGCACTAAAACAAACCCACACAGCTAGTAATCTGATTCTTGACAAAGATGCCAAAAATTTACAGTGGAAAAAAAAACAGCTTTTTAGTTTTATGCCATCCCATTTCTTGATTCTCGGTAGTACTTCCTGAACTATAAGAGTCCTACTGAGGAAGTTGCTGCCTAAGCCTACATATTGGACCATTTTCCCTATGTTCTTTTCTAGTAGTTGCAAAGTTTCTAGTCTTATTTCTTGGTCTCTGGTTCATTATGAGTTGACTTTTGTGCAGGTGAGGTACAAGAAGAAATGTTGTATGGTATTTCCAGGATTCTCCTTAAAGGAAGGAAGTTCAACCATTTCTCAGATGGATATCCAGTTTTTTAGGTTTTTACATATGGATATCCAGTTTTCTTAGCACCATTTGTTAATGACTTAAATAAAAGATATGTTTATTTTTATCCCACATGTAAGTCCAGAGATAAGTGTTTCAAAATTGGTAAGGCATCTTTTGAAGCTATCAGGAATGTAGGGTCTTCCTTGCTGTGACCTGCACCGCTGTTGACTCAGAAATCAGCAATGGGCGATGGGGGGGATTAGAAAAGACAAACAGACACACATACACAAAGAAAACTAGGACCAGGTGGGACATTATCCTCTGATAGAGGAACAATGGTCCAGAGCTACTTTATCTCTGTGTTACATTTATTATGTAGGTTTTATCATCAAAGGGTTTTCTGTGAGAAAGTTTCTTCAGAGCAGGCAGACTAAAGGACAAAGCCAATTATAATTATCTACTTGTGCTAATAATTCTCTACCCCTGGCAGCTGGTGTCTGAACTCAGGGTCAAGACTGATAGTCCTGTGCCTTTCACAAAACCTCTTTTAAGCAGGGAGTCACTATAGCAACTGGGCATTCTCAATCTGCACCTTTACACAGGAAGTTCCCAGTGCATGTCCATATGCTGCTGTGGGACAGTCAGAAACCATGATTCAAATCACTGCTTCCTGCAATACCTCATACTTTTCTCTCTTTCATTGTGGGGACCTCATCTTAATTGTATAATATGGCTGCCTGAGCTCCTGCTATCATAGCTATGTTCAGGCAGCAGGATGGAGGATGAGAAATGGGTGAACTTCCTTCCTTTAAGGAGAATCCTGGAAATACTATATAACATTTCTTCTTGTATCTCATTAACCAAACTTACATACAATGTACACTCAAGTGTAGCCTTTATCTAGGCAGTAATGAGACTAGCTGAAGCCTGGGTTTTGTTGTTATGGAAAGAGAAAATGGATTTTGGCAGACAACTAATAGTCTCTGCCACAGTTTGCATGCATTTTTCTTCATTTTAAAATTTGAATTGTCATCAAAGTGATACAATTTGCAGGAGGAGGATGGAAGTCTCTGTGAGAAATGTCTCCAAGAAAAATAGAAAAAAAAAGAAAAGAAAAGAAAACTGATTCTTTGATGTGTGTGGCCACATGCAGAGGTGTTTTAGAAACAACTCATATTGTTTTCTGTTGGAAAATTTCATGGTTAATCAATGTTGGACTCAGAGAAAACAAAATACACACACACACACACACACACACACAGTCCTGTTGTAGAATGCTGCTTTGCATCTGTCAGCCAAATGTGTTTGCTAAAACTGAACCCTTGAACTGGGCCAACTTTGTCTCACAGTCACAGAAGGACTGGGGGAATCATGCTTGCTGCATGTTCACTCCCAAGAACAAGGAGGGAGGGGAGCCAATCTCACATAGTTTTCTTCCTAAATTTACCAACCAGATAAATCACACTGCTTCCCCAGTAATGGAGGAAGTTAAAAAGTAGAGAATCCAGGATATGGTTTAGGGAATCTCT